AACAAACCCTCTGTTGTGGCAAATCGACAATGTACACACCAGATTGTCTGGGCCCTGCCACCACCGACGAGGAAGAGTCCTGATGTGAATTTTACAACCATAAAACCAGTTCGTCGGTTCTCTTCCCACGAAACAAAAAGGGGAAAGTCACCCCTTATATCCGAAGCGACGGAGCTAACGTCTTTATAACACGTGCTATTGTCCCGTCATCCAAAATGCCTCAAAGTTGTGCCTGATGAAGTATTTTGCGCGTCCCAGTCATTTTGCGGATACCGCCTCTCCACATCCAATGATCTGTGACGGCGCACCTAGTGCTCTACTCATTCCCTAGAATAGTTGACAAGGGAGTCGGCGAAACCGTGGCCGTGCTTTTGGGATGGACTGGACTGTCATCGTAGCGCAGTTGCAGCAGCTGCGGGACGACGTCAAAGCGCCAGCGTCTTTTTTGACAACGATGACCGCGTAGCCTAGTATTCACGACAGTAAGGAGGAGTCGACCGGGCGGGTGTTCAGTACACCCGGACCTCTTGCGTGATTGTGATATCGTGAAGAGTCCGTGGATATCTTCGACTACTCAGAGACCCTGCGATCAGCACACCCTAGGGTGGCAACGTCCCCAATTTGTGTATGTGACAACAAGTCCGACCCGTTACATCTTAATCATGCTCAGTCATTAACTCCGAGGGCCGGCCTCTCTTGGTGAGAGGTGCAGTTGAAGGGCCATCTGGTTGCGTCGTTAATAGCCCAACTGGCTACGTTGATGACCTCTCTCACCTAAGACAGCACATTTTGTACGCCATCACTGTTTAGTCGCAGGGAGGTACCGCCAACGTGGTCAGTCGACGGCGCTGTACGACAAGCACAGAATCAGTATAACCAAATCCGGCGTCTGCATGGGTCCTTTCTTGAAGTCAAAGACCAGGTAGTCTTGAACAACTCGCGCAACAGTGGCGTAGTAGCAGACTCCTACCGTCTTTGTTGGCACCATCCAACTCCGTTACCCGCCACAAGAGCTCTTGTGAAAACAAATTCGGAAGCTACCTTACGACCGATGTTCTGAAAAAAGCCTGAGTAAGATAGAAATGGGGCGGTAATGGCATAGTTTCTCAAGTACCCCACCACGCCGCTTATATTATGAGAGCAGCAGAGGGGGGACGCATCTACAAAGTCCGCCGCCTACACCCATTATGCGAAGCGAGTGCTGCCCTTCGCCCATCGCTCCTGGTAGACTGTCTTCCGCGAGGACGGTCTGCGCAGCGCTGCCCCCCCCCCCCTAGTCTTGCCTTAAATTCTCTGGCAAGGCCGAGTCAAGACGACTGCGACGAGACGACGCAATGTCTGACTTGCCCGTACTCCGCGTTCATGCGTTATCTACTGAGCCGGATTTCAGGGCCAAGCAGTCGCCCTACCAGCAGTCCCCTGTGTGCGGCTGCAAAGCACCCTGCCGCTCTGCAGACAGGTACGAAGTGCCGGATGCGGTCGGCGAAGAATATTTGGCACCGGAGATAGGGACCCCAACCGACCACAAGAGGTTCGCCCACTCTCTGGATGTCACGTAAACACAGTCGGACACTTCACGGTCCTGAGCCTGGGCAGTAGCGGGGGTCCCAGACGCCCGTTGCAAAAGCCGATGACACCATCTGCGCGGCGCAAGGCCCGAGTTTGATGGTCGCAAACATCCCAATCAGTTAACCAGGTAGCAGCGTAGGCCACAGCCCACCATGGTCTAGGCAACAAACAGTACAACAGCCACGACCACGCAGTTGGAAAAAAAATGTGTTCTTGCCACATAGGCAAACCACTAACTCTGCCAGCCGATGTACTAATATATTGTCACTCTCTTCCAGTTTAGAAAACTCCGAACACCTCCAGCGCCTCCACTCCCGCGACGACCACAGGTCCGCTTCGCTACGAACGACTAACCTGCGGCCAAGTGCCCTTAGTCCACTTTTATACTAGGAAAATTTCCCACCAGCAATCTCCCCGAGTCTCCGACTCCTAGTGCTGCCTAAAACTGCTGCTAGTGACATGTACATACTGATCCTTGATCCTGTACTCGCTTTTTTTCGAGAATAATTTCAGAACACAATGTAGTAAAGTTTTGTTTATTTTTGTACATGTTGGTCGCATAAAACGATGTGACGGGATTGATCAGGCGGGGGGATCTATCGGCGTATGGGTGGACCACCACGGCCACGGCCCCGTGGACCGCCACGTCCCCTGCCACGTATGCCACCACGACCGCGACCACGAGTAGATAGGGTTGTAGCTAAAAGAATGAATTTACAATGTGACGTCTGGCTTGCAAAAAAAACAGTACAAAATGCAGTCTTATAGTCAGGGAGGCAAAGAAGTCAGTGGACGAGGAGATACAATCCAGACAACGGCGACAAAGCTTACAAAGGACGAGGAAGTTTGATTACGAACAAGCTACAGTGGTGGAGGTGACGAAATGTGGATAATCATTGCTCATGTGCGAAATGATCTGTAGACGGTTTTGGGGGAGGAATGGAACTTCTCACAAGTCACTTGGCACACTTTAAACTACTGGGAAGTATCCAATTCGGAAAAGCTCTTTGTTGGTTAGGCCAGTCCTATGATGACCATAGCAAATAAGTGAGCGCCAGAGAGGACCGTCAAGAATCGTACGACAGTGCATGCATGCTTAAATTGGCACGACACACGCTTGCGTCCAAATCGGAAAGCCCAACCTTCCCACAAGTCGCCATTTACAGGGGGAGTGGCGTTCCAAGCTAATCAAGTAGGACTACAAGAGCGCTGGGATCGTGACACTTCGGCTTAGTATGCACGATGAGGAGGGTGCGCATTCCAAAGTTTATGGCAAAGACGTGACGCGTGATACAACGGGAGACTGTCTGAGTCCCCATTACACCACCTTAGGGGGAGTGGCGAAAATAACAGGGGGAACGACATTACAAATAGAGATAAAGTTTGTAAACAAAAGTCAAAAACGCATCAGTTCGTGCCGAGTATGTACCCTGACTGCTACTTTACGCATCAGATGACCGCATCAGAAGGTCTAGTCTTTCATTTTCGGATACTAAAAAGGCAGTCTCTACACAAGCAACCTTTGTGCCTAGACCAAATGACCCGCTACAAATCCCGGACCGCTGGGTGTGCACTGCTTGCACTTGGTGTTGATTTAACACATTACATCAAACATCTGGGGTGGAGTAGGTTAAACAAAACGATTGTTGAACATTAAAAACACCTTAAAAATGGTCTTCAGTTAGTCAGAATAAACCCGGATGGCATCGATGTGATATGCTGTGATGGGCGAGCTCAATGGCCATCTCAAAGGAATGGGAGGAACATGCATACGACTAATGGCTGAGATAATGACTTAAGAGAAAGTTAACTATTTTACTAGATCGCGGTTGCGAGCACGAAAGAGTGTTTTACAGCTTACCAGCATCCTTCTTTGGGCGCTTCTTGGGCGGCCCTTCATCAATCAGAAGGGTGTCGAGAGGCAAGGTGTCGGGCAAAATGAAATAACGGATGTTATTCCCCCGAACTGTCAGAGTATCCATGCTGACAGGATCTTCGTTTTTCATTGTGAGTTTTACGGACCGTAAGTGCGTGTTCATCGCAACGTCGACGCCCGCGATTGTCCCATGAACTTGAGTGCCATTCTTTAGTTCGATGGTGACCGTTTCATGGGATAGCTTCATCAAGAACCTGTGTGGGGAAATGAGGAGCTACATCGGTGTCCATCAAAACAGGTGTAGAAGAAGGATAACTAAGGGGACTGAGAACTCACCTGACGAGCTTCATTTTCGCGTGACTTGAACTTGAGCGCGCGAAGCGGGGCCCGTTGTTTAAAGTCACATTGGTTCCAATTTCGTAATTGGTCAAGTCACTCCAGGTCATATACTAGTATGTAACCACAAAATTTATGGCGAACAATATAGTGCATTTGATAATGAGCAATACTTGCCAGCAGACAAAAAGCTAGTTATTGGGGGAATGACGATGAGATCGCCGGCTAACTTTTAACAAATCAGATACCATTCGTGTACAGGTCAAAAGCCATACCCAGTATTAATAAGTATCTACCAGAAACCTGTTTTAGGGTTTCAGGGGAATGAAAAATTCAGATATATCCCATGCAAGTCCAAATGAGTACAAATTAATGAACAACCGACGTTTGCCTAAGGTACGATTGACATAGAGTAGGACTGCATAGAAACTCAGGAGTCTAGAAAGCAGTTCATAGCACCAGTTCAAGTCCTAAGCAGACAGGATTCCGATGTGTAGAGGGGCGCGATTCCAATAAAATCAACTGTCACACTGCCCAATGTCGTAACTAATAAAGGAGTTTCGATATTCACCTACACATGTTACCACTGAATCATACTATATCCCTTAAATCAAAGAACGAGTATTACAGATAAAATGTACGACTTGTTTCTGTGGCAGGGATAGGGAACAGGGATCTCAGGAAGACCATGCCATCGGCTTCGTTGCCACGGGCATGCCTGTGCCTTCTGGCATCCCAGAAGACAGTGCTCCTAAATATTCAATCATTCTAGCATTGGCTTATGGGCCTTTTGCAGGGAAGGGGAAGCGTCACATTCACAAAGAAGTCCAGGATAGCTCGCATAGAAGACCCGAGGGAGGGTATCGAATCTGTCGACGCCGAGGGGGTTTGTTCTCACTGGAATTTCATTCTGCGGCCGACTTAAGCTTTAAGTGACGATTTGTCGCAGGTGACTTCCATCTTCCTGAAGTCCGCTGGTCTCCGCTTTCCGGCCCCATCAAGTTTGAAAGCTTACTGTAGGTTGTGGATCGTGGGATGGGGAGTCAGGTTGTTGATTTTCCCACCCGAGGAACAAGCATAATTAACCTAATTTTCTGTAGAGGTCTGTAGCGGCCAAGCGACGAGAGTAAGTGTTCTGAGCGCTAAAACCCCCAGGCCGAATCTCAAGTCGTAAGGAGAAGACTAAAGGCACCAGAATGAGGGTTTTATTGTGCACAGAACCCGGAGCTGTTCTCTCAGGCGGCAGTGGCCACTGGCGAAGCCAGGGCTGACGTTGACTGCGTCCAGTTATGCCTGAGAGTCACTGAGATAGTGGCAGCAGCCGCCTTTGCAGGCTCGTGGGCCAAACTCAAGTGGTGGCCAGTCAGTGTGTGTTGCATTTGCTGAGGGGTGGTGTCCCAGTGACTTAGGCTGTGGCTGCAGGGGGCGGTGCGTTCAAGCGGCCTCTGGGTAGCCGCGACGCTGTGTGGACGCAATTTTTTCGGAGCTGAAGTCGGTTGAGTGGCTTCAGGCCAGCTGGTCTGGGACGGCTCGCTGCAAGGGGTAAATGACCTTGAGACGGCGGGGTCTTCAACAATGACATCAGACCGGTTATGATGGCTATCCGCCACAGGTCTTACGCCTCTGTCAGTGTCATCCCTAGGCCCACTCGCGGGCTCCGACCATGAAATAATGGTTTCAACGTTAGAACTTTAGGGTCGCATAATTATGTCCCCAAAGTATGGTTTCTTCCTCGATTTCCGAACAGCTCGCGGGACGGAATTATTAGTACACATTTATTCCTACATTTGGATTGATTTCGTTTCATGTTTGAAAGTACATTTTTTCCCTGGCCAAACTGTACGAAATTTTGTTATCCGCTTATTTCTCGTTTTGTCCCTCGTAAGAAAATAATTAAGGTCGGAGATGAGGTTATTCTACCCTTGCCCTTTCGACGCAGGTTGCGCAGATTTTCTCGTCGATTAGATCGTCGGAACGACGCCTCAATTCTGCCCTCGATTTATGCTATTTTTGAGCGGGCTAAGAGACTGTTCGAAGAAAAACTGCTTGAAAAGCAGTCAAATTCACCGAAATCCGCTCGTTAAATGTCTCGGAATTCTTCTGCCTAAAAAGTACGGACCCATAGAAGGACGCAGTATCTCACCATCCGAGAGGCTCTCGGGAATCCTATAGGTGATGCCCAGTTGACCCGTGATAGTTTCAATACTTTCCTGTCTAAAACGTTTATTAAATACTCGACCGCTCCGCTCCCGACCATCCAGGCATTGACCGGGACAGTTCTCGAAACCACAACTTTCGCTCTGTGCGACGTTACTGTAGCGATTCGGCGTTTTCGTTAGTCTCATAGCCCTGGACCTGCTGGTGTCCCAGTTAGTATTCTGAAAGCGGATGCAAATGTAATTTCTCCGTACCTCTTATGCAAGATATATATTCTTTCTCTTCAAAGTGGAACCTATCGTATTTTGTGGAAGGATTCACGCATTTCACCTTCTCGCAAGTATGATCGTTCTACCTCATTTGATGACTTTCGGCCAATAAACATCCTCCAAACAGTTTCGAAAATCTTAGAGACATTGATCAAAAATAAGATAATTTGTCACTTAACTTAGGATAACCTACTGAACGCGGCACAGCATGGAGTCCCCGAAGCTCGGTCTTGTGACACCTACCAATTGTCTTACTTTAATCATGTTCTCCAATCTAGGAACAGCGGTTTTGCATCTTACGCAGTCTATTTCGATTTCACTAAGGCTTTTGACTGTGTTGACCATGCTCTTCTTGTCTTGAAACTGTCTTCTTTCGGAATAGGTGGCAAACTTTTGAAGTTTACATCCTCTTACCTGGGCGCTCGTACACATAGAGTTAAGATTTCCGATGCCATCTCCAACCCCATAAGCGTGGGGATTGGGGTCATTCAGGGTAGTGCACTCGGCCCGCTATTATTTCCCCTTTTTGTTGACGATGTACCTGATTTATTTCAGAATGCTAAGCCCTTCACTTATGCCAATGATCTGAAAGTTGCATATAGAAATAAGCCAATAGATCATGACATCGTGCTCGAGCTCCTAAAGAGCGACCTACAGGCCTTCGCCAAATGGTGCTGCACATGGCTCATTTTTCTTCCTTGACATAAATTCTCTGTCGTGGTGGTTGGTAACGACCATCAACCTTAACTAAGTTCCGACGGTCACGAAATAAATGTCTCTGAAGTTATTAAGCATCGGGGTATATCATATTCCAAGTGTCCAAATCTTCAGGATCACTGCACCCTGGTAGTCTTCACAGCATGCAGAACGACCGGGTTTATCCTCTGAAACCGTAAAACCAACTACATTAGAATGTGTCTTTATAAGATGTGCGTTCGACCTGGCCTGGAATACTCTTCGTTTTTATTTAGTCTCATGCGTGCTGCCGAGCGGAAGAAAATAAAATCCGTCCAACGCTCTTTTACCAAGAGAGTTCTAACCCCGGAACACCGAGATTTGTCCTACCAAGAACGTTGCCGGCTTACAGACTGCGATCCGTTGTGGTTTTGTAGATTACAAAAGGAACTTTTTTACTATTTAGGCTTTTATATAATCGTACCTTTAACCCGATCATTACTTAAAGACATCTTCTCAACCCCCGGCGTAACAGTCATCGTGAGGTCTTTTTATATTTTCCTCTGACACGTCCCGTTCAATATCTTTGGTTCTTTTCTGTGAGTGCAATCGTAATTTGTAATAAATTACCCATGGCTGTGGAAATTTTGCAAAACTATTCTTTGTTCATGTGAACTGTTACTCATTTTTTGCATTCAAATAACTCCAAAAAATTTTGGGTGCTGAATGCACCGATTGACTATACCGTAGCGATGGAGTTCGTGGTCTCTGGCCCCCGTGGCTTGTCTCATCAGGGACAATTTCTTCAACCAACAGCGACAGCTGTTCTTCAGTGCATCTGTTTGGTCCAGTCCCAACTTCATGAAAAGAAATGGCGACTGAAGATATCCGATAAAGTGCTACGTACGCGGAAACTGTTCTCTCAAGTCGCACACGGTACTTCTTATACTCAGAGATGTCAGCTGGCGAATATTAAGTTTTTGTGGGTTAGAAGACTCGAAGCTAACCTTTGCTTCCTTTTTCGCATGAACAATTGCCCCAATCTTCCACTCATTGACTCTCACTCCGAGAATATGGCCCGCACTTCAACTTTGGCATATTTTTGTTCCAATTTGTATTGGTGGCCTCGAAGATTGGTCGTTCGCGCCGGTTCGAAGGAAGCGTCAAACTGAAGAGCAGTCTAGTCCTCAGACGATCCTGAAGACCGTGATCATATTCCTCTGTATTGTCTATAAGAGAGGAAATATTTTTAGCTTATCGAGGCGTCTCACATATGGTAAACACCTTAATCCACCGACCATCTTGGTTGCTCTTCTTTGTACGTTCTCCAAAAGAGTGTAATCTTGTCTCTTCCACAGACACCATGCCTGAACGCAATGCTCCAAAACTGATCGAACAAATGTTCCAAATACTCGACCGAAAAGTTCTTCGTCAAAATTGAGGAAGGATCTTCTAATCGCGCATAGGATACTCATAGTCTTCTTCGATAGCTTGGCGCAGTGAAACGATGGTTTGAGAACTGAGGTCATCCACACACCGAGATCTCTTAACTCGTTGACCGATTCGTGTTGGTGACCCCAAAAAGAGTAGTCAGATTCAAATCTCAACGGCCTCTTGTTGCCCGATCGTAGTCGTATAAGTTGGCAGTTGTTAGGGCTGAGGTTAAGACACCACTCATCAAAACATTGTTGCAAGCGATTCAGATTTTTTCGCAACTGTAGCGCGTCTTCCGGCTTCTCTATTTAAACCCTCAAGGTTCCATTTACCTACAGGAGCCAAGTTATTTCGACATCCTTATTGCTGTGGGACTCGTCTAGCAGTCGTCATATCCTGCTGGCATCGCTTAGCGTGTGCTGCCATTTTGATTCCAAACTTTACTCCTGATTTTGAACCCAGGGTTGAGCTCGCATCGT